CTCCATGTTATTGAAAAAAATCTCAATAATACTTTTTTCCCTACTCAGATATATCAATCTTAATATCTGGTTTAGGTGGTTAATTAAAGGTTAACAATGTTGGCATGTCTTTTTATCTAAGTATCTAAAAGTTTTTTCTTTTAAAAAGCGTTAACCCACACTAGGAATTTCTCCTGTGTCGTGGGTGCGTTTACAAACACACACTTTCACACACACACTACATCCAAACCCGGAAGTCCGGAACAACAAATTGTGGTTTCCACAAAGAGTTGTTCCGTGCGCGAATCGAGCCCGCGACATGTTACGTGGTAGCCATATGCCCAGCCACCGCGCCAACCGTGCAGTCAAAGTTGTCTATACGTAAATTGGATGTAAAATGTTTACGAATAGGTATCTACTTACTTTTAAACTACGCAGGTATTAACGCGAAAAATAATTATTAAAATACCTTCATAGGTTTGACGTTTTAATTCTATAATATCTACCTAAATCAATGTAAGCTAATAAACTAAATTTAAATAATATTTGTACCTATTTAAGACGACTACTTTTTTATAAAAAGACATACCAAGATTGTTTACCTTTCAGTTAGTTACCTAAACCTAAACTACGGAATTTCACAGCTGCAATGGCGACTCAACCAAATAAGATATTAAATAAAAAAATAAAAAGATCAACAATTAATATTATTAAAAATAATAATAAACAAATGAGTATTATATTGGAATAAAGTGCACAATAAGAAAAACTCAAATTGTCTTTTGTTACACTTCAGTGCAAAAAATATAGCACTTTTTATAAGTTGTTATATTATACCTACAACTATTCAGTTAAGCAATTTATATATTATATTATAATTATAATTTATAATATATATATGTACACAATTTCATGTTTTTTTGTTTATATAAGTAAAAAATTGCATTTCGTTTCTAGTTTACATAGTAAGGGACGCTTAGCGAATGTTACAGTTTTCTGACAGACAGTGTACAAAAATTAAGCGTGTGGATTTGATCCAATCAATTTGCCGTGTGAAATTTATGTCAAATAACTTTTGAATACATAATACCTATTAATAAGGGGATCGAACTCTTAAGAAGTTAAGGTTGAAGTAAAAACAAAAGGAAAAATTAATTTACTACAAATATTCCCGCCACCTTTCGTCAATTATGTTATGTTTGCCATCACATCATCAGCCTATAAGTGCCCGCTGCTGAGCAAAGGCCTGTTCTCACACGGAGAAGGTTTGAGCTTCAATCACCACGCTTGCTCAAGGCGTCATACATATAACTCGGAAAAAGTCACATTGGTACTTGCCAGGTTTTGCAACCGTGTCCTCGTTAACCTCCGGGCAAATATGCCAACCATTTTTGCCCTTTTATACGTGTATTGCAAACGATCCGCCTTCGCAAGCACGGTGATTAATGCTCAAACCTTCTTCGTGTGAGAAGACGCCTTTGCTTAGCAGTGGGCACTTAAAGACTAGTGATATGATCCATGTAAGATATTATGACTTTGGTGAATGACCGTCAGTAGTAGTAAAGTACAACAAATAAATTATTATTTTTTCGTGTCGTCTTGTGCAAGAAGGCAATTTGATACAAAACAAGTACCGATAAGCGTAATACGTAAACATAAAATAAATGTACCTTTCAATTTTCACATTCATTTTACAATAAGCACGATCCCCGATAACAAATTTCAAAAACAAACAAATCACTGTGTTGGAATGCAATCGTTCGTCCCACAGCAAAATTAAACGTCAATTACTTAATTATAATCTAATTAAATTAATAAATCTAATACGAAGATAATTTTAATATATGATCCACTAAGATTTACTACGTAAAACTTACAAGCCCTCTTACAACGCAAACCTTCAATTACATTTTAAAAATATGATAAGTAGTGTAGTATTCATAAAAAAAATTAAACCTCTTGAAGCTTTTGAGAAGGGGCGGTGGGCGGTGACCAATGACTAAAGTGATGTGAGGCGAGAGTGTCAGACTCTTACCCCGGTTTCCGAAAGGCCGATCAATGTTAAAATCAATTTAATCTCTTGTCAGGTCATCTGATTCGTTGACTGAATTATCAACAACCAATCAGATGACTTGACAAGAGATTTAACAGGAGATTAGTTAATTTTAGCGTTGACAAGTCTTTCAGAAATCGGGTGTTACTGACTAAAAACCACCCCCTTTCTTCTGCTCCAACAACTCTTGTAATCTCTTGTAGCTAGAGAAAGTTTTACAAACAGAGACTACAGTTTTTTTGTCACTAGATGGCGTTAATATTAAGTCTCATCTTTTCGTCCAATAGGGAATTAGTAGTAGTGTCAGAAAATTGGACTCCAATTTTGACAGTTACTGTGATTGGTTTTTTGCAAACTGATTTCTTATCTTGTATTAGCGACATCTAGTGAGGAAGAAACCGATAGTCTTTAGTTTAGATTTTTACTAAAAGAGATTTCAAAAATGGAGATTTTTTTATTCTAAAATTGTCGTTGCAATACAGGTCTGACTGAGAATTGACAACTGGCTGCCGTGTCGCCAGGTCGATCACCGCACGGAACCAGTATTTTTATGGTCGACAAATTGTTGTTCTGGGTCTAGGTGTAATGTGAATGTGAAATTGTTTGTTTGTAAACGCAACCACGACACAGGAGCAAACCCCAATATGGGGGCAACGTTAAAAACTCATACTACTAATGAATATTAGATTTTTTCACGACCAATAGAAAACATTACACTGCTAAAACAGGTTTAACATTTGTTTATGAATACCACAGAATAGGAGAGTGTCTAAATAATAATTTAATTCATATTCACTAAGTTAACCAAAGTCACTAAGTTTTCCGATATATAAAAAAAAAATACGAAACATTGAGAAAAATATCGTAAAAATCTCAGTCGCAATATCTATCTGGCTTTGACTAAACGCTGTGAGATTCGCATTCGAGAAACTGTGACGTCACACTTTTTCGCTACTTATATACAAGAACTACATACAGACACGAGCACATCACAATATACCACTCAAATAAATAGATTGTCAACTTTACACAGTCAATATAAAGTCGAAAATCTATTGAAGGTGTAGCTTGATGTGCTGGTCCGTATAAAGGCCTAATTTAGAAAAAATGTCATCGGTTATATATTACAATAATCTATACAATAATGATAACGCCTTACAATATACAAACTACGTGATATCCCTTAACTGTCAAGTCGGTAAAGATGTGAATTTCGCAAACCCATTTCCAAGATACAAAAAAAAAACATCAAAAAAAATGTCTTTTCTAAAAAAACACACTTAACATCGGACTAGCAATTTTGCGAAATCGACATAGTACTTTCATTTTTTTTTTTAGTAAAATACGTTTTTTTTTACTAACCGTCAAAAAAATCGCGCGAAACATACCGGCTGAATAAAAATACGTTACGAATACTTTTTTTCGGCCGGAAGTGTAATACTTATTTATTATGTGTAGTAGAAAAAATATTAAACTATTTTTGTGTGTCTAGCGTTAAAGGCCTAGGTATCCTATGCTTTATTTCTGAACATTTAATTGTACCAAATATAATGAAATGTGACGAGGCTTCCTTTAGCCAAGTCCCGTATCGATAATCGGTATCGCTTTAAAACAAATTTATGGAGATTTCTAAAAGTCATCGAAGGTCACCATGGTCAATGAATGAGGCTTTTCTGAAATTTTCCCCGTGAGATCTCTGACCTCATGCCCAACCACCTGAATATAGTCAAATTAAATACTTTTTTTTCCAATTGTCTATATTGACATTTTATTTTAATTTTTATGATGACGTCGATTTTGTCGTATTGGCGATAGTAGGCACCGTCTACTATAGTCAAATAATGGCTTGGTATGAAGTGAATAGAAACGTGTCTATTGCTAGAAACTTAGAAAAGAGTTATTAAAACATTACGGGCCGTAAAAAACTTATTCGAAATAGTAGTTAAGTTATTTATTCGAATTAGAGAACCGTATTACTTTTTATAAAGAACATTACTAGAAAAAGAACATTTTCATTATATCCCCGTACATTTAGAGTAACTAAAAGGAATTTCTTCCACTCATTACATTTGGTACACATAAATGTTTCAATATACAACATTATTAACAACGTTAATTCAGTTTGAACCTTAAAACTAACGGTACAAGGATCATAATGGTGCATTACAACATCGTTACCATCTCACTGAATCAAATCTTTTGATTTTTTTGTCATTTTATCACTGTAAACTTAAAATTATAACAACCAAATTGAAAATATACAAGAAAATTGCACCAAAAACATAAAATTATTAAAAAAAAAACAAATGTTTTTAATAATAATACCACCAAACGCCAACCTTGGCGTATTTGGACAAACATTTATATTGTCAATACAAAATGAATCCTAAACTCAACTCCGTGGTGTGCGAATTCGTATAATCTGTATATGACACCAATGTTTGTTCAAACATACCAAGCGTCGGCTTAAATCAAAAGAATGAGGGTTAATGTTTTTACGGCAATAAAGCCCTAAAGAAGTTATCAAACTATGAAAGAAAATTAAATTGAAAACAACACAAGTCTTTTCTCTTCTTCTTAATATATTCAATGCTTTAATCCTGTAGCGTGAATCTTCCGGGCGAGAAAGAGGGATGGAGCTATACACCTTTTATAGCTCCATCCCAGTTTCTCGCCGAAAGATTCAAGGTTTAACATGTCATCGAAGGCCCTCTGATCTTGACCATATGGTTAAATTGTATATATTTTCCTACTTTTTATATCCATACATCATATAGATGTTATATTCAAATTAAACATGTGTTTTAAGCACAAATTTTGATGATACAACCCAAAACTCTGACCTAAAAATTTATAGCTTTGAAATTTCAGAAAAAAAAAACACTATTAACCCTCATTTTACACAAGCTACAAAAAAAAACAAATATAAAAGTCCTGTTATAAACTCCTTGCTTTGTATGAAAAAGTTCTACGTAATAAGTCGTGGCGCGTGAAGCCCGTATAATCTCCGCGCGAGCGGGGGCCTATGGCGGGGCTCGTCCTCGCTGTGTGAGTTGTGGGGCGCCCAGTCCTGCAGGCGGGCCCCCGCCGCCAGCCGGTGAGTCAGGCGATGCGCTATACTGAAGCCCCCACTACCTTCTAGCTGAGTTAGCACTATTATTACTTGTCTGTGGAAGAAGAAATATTATGATAAGTGTGGGAGAGCCATGCTGGGCTGGCTCGACTGGAGTGCAGAACCTTATAGAAAACCGATGTGAACCCGCCACAGCGTTGTGCTTCGCCATGTGAGTGAGGTTACCAGAGGCCCAATTCTCCCCCATTCTCAAGCCTCAAATCCCTAATAACCTACAAGAACGCACTTGTAGTAACTCCTTTGATACTACGAGTGGCAATGGGCGGCGTTGATTGCTTTCCATCAGATAATCAGACTGCTCGTTTATCGAACTGAGACATAAAAAATGATTGATGACGCTTGGAAAGAGTACGAATGGCCAATAATATTATGATTGTTACTGAAAACCCAATAAGACCTCTGATCAAGAGGTTCAAACGTTCATAGAGATAATGTAAATTTTTTATGGGTTAATTCTTTTGATACTAAAAAAAATATTCATTTTATAATTATGAGACATACATTACAAAGACACGTTTTCAAAACTATATTTTTCGTAAGAAAAATATTTTAGACTATATTTTAGACGTGTAAGAGCCATGCTTTAGGAGTGCTACCATAGCCGGGTTCCTATGAACCTGTGAAAGGGTAGAATAGTGACAGTGTTCCTCACCTATGCAATGGCGGTACGGAGTCGATAGTCTTCAGCTCGCCCCTGGTGGACACGACGTTGTAACTCTCCTGGCAGTCACACTTCACGTGGATCCACTTGTCCGTGTGTCGGTTCTCGACCATCACTACTAGTCCTGCCCAACCCTGGAAGACAAAATAACAAGTCTATACTAATATTATAAAGAGGTATTTGTAAGTTTGTATGTTGAAGTGTCGGAGAGCCAACTTCGGTACGAATGGGTCGGCTCGACTAGAGTAATACTACAGGCTAACAGAAAACCGGCGTAAAACAACTATAGCATTATTTTTCGCCGTATGAGTGAGGTTACCGGAGGCCCAATCCCTCTCCCTCCCCCATCCCTTCCCAATCCTTAAATATCCGAAACCCTAAAAAGTCGGCAACGCATTCGTATATTAGCAGCGTCGATTGCTTACCATCAGATAATCCGTCTGCTCCTTTACCGTCCATGATGCCATAAAAAAACTACTGCAAAAGCAATGTATACTTTTTAATATTATAAAGCTGTAGAGTTTGTTTGTTTGAACGCGCTAATCTCCGGAACTACTACTATTTATCGATAAAGGCTATAGAATACAAAACATCATGCTACGATCTTTACGAGCCGAGCAGCGGGTAAAACCTTGCGAGAGTAGCTAGTATTATACGTACCTTAGTCAAATAATACGCAGTCATGCCTTGTCGGCCTTCATGTCTTTGTCCCCTGGCTAGAGTCAGGCCAATGATGGCGTCGGCCAATAGATGCGGGTGTAGGGGAGGCCTCGCCACCGTGAGAGGCTTGCTAGAGTGCGCGGCCAGTACGTGGCGAGGCCAACTGGACCTGCCGGCGGCCTCGAGGCCTGTGTGCCAATGGTTGAAAGCCAGACAGACAACTAGATAGAAGCCTTTTTCTAACATCTTGTGGCAGCCGACGAAGCCTCGTACCTGGAAAAAGTTAAGGTATCATGCTACAAGGAGGATATACTGACAAAATTTTGTGTAACTGTCGAGATACTTAGTGAACCTACCACCTAACTGCATACGATATTCATATAATTATCCAAAATAGTCAAAACCCGACAAGTACCAATGTGATTTTTTCCGAGTCATGATGTATGATCATTTAGACAAACAGTAAAGGAAAACATCGTGAGGAAACCTGGATTTTATAATTTTTAATTACAAGTTTTAAATCGCCACCCCGCTATAAGCAAGCGTTGAGATTAATGCTCAAACCTTCTTCGTGTGAAAAGAGGCCTTTGCTCAGCAGTGGGCACCTATGGGCTTTTTATTATATCTCTCGCTTATTTAATATATCTCACGAACGTCATACGTAACTATACAACTTACAAATAAGACTTACCTGTCTTTTACTATGCGCAACTAGTTTCCCGACTTGCGCATTGGGCCCCGACTTCGTTCGGAACACAACGACACACAGATCTAACTGCGATCGCTGACTTTTCTCTGAATTTCTGTGAATAAATATATTTAACATTAAGAATTTAGTGTGTAACAGAAAATAAATTCGTTAGGGGTTCGCTCCAAAGCTACTCTTGCGCAAATTACTACTGTTTTAGAATTAGATATATTAATGTTTTTTCCAGTCTATAATCTCTGTGCCAGATTTCATTCAGATACGTTCAGTAATTTTTACGATCAAGAGTAACAAACATTAACCTGTACTTACAAACCTTCGCACTTATAGCATTAGTAGGATTTCGTCCAATATTTTATAATAATAAAACATATTATTTTAATAAAAACTTAGTACCTAGTTATAGTAACATATTTGTCCTATTAATTTTCTTGTATGGCTCAGAACGAAATACAATTAGCACTTGATTTCCTAACATGCGCAAATTTGCGCAAAGTATCATTTTTATGCGTAAAAAACAATACAATTACCTCTGTCCCTCTTGAAAGAGAGTGAAGTCTACTTCAGTAGGTTGGCTGGCAGTGAGGAGTAGACAGGTTAGATGCCGGGTTGAGGACATTGGGGGTAATATACCCGCCAGGCGGACCTCGTGCCATCCCACCCGGACTTTACATATATCTATGCAGTCAAAGTACCTGTGGAAGGGATATGAAAACATGAGGTTGTTTTTGATAAGTCTCACTATGTGTTGTATAAGAATTTATTGAAGAGTAACTATCGTGAGACATACTAAACTCATTGATAATAACGGTTTACTCATGTGAGAATAGTTCTACTAGTTTGAAGTCACGCTCATGAGCAGCGTGACTTGAAACTTGTAGAGCCTTTTTCAGTTATTAAATAAGTCGGTATTTTCAGTTTTTTTTTTGTGTCTAATTATGCGCTAAGACTAAGCTAATATAGATATTTTTATTGGGGAAGACATCATTAATGGTATGATTTCTTTGAAAGACCATAGAAACCAATAATTATCCCTGTATATAAATGCAACCAAGGACAGTCCACAGTCAGTGTAGGACTGTTGTGTATAAAGGATTGTAAATATAAAGCTGTGTGTGTTGCCTTGGACTGATATAACTGTGGATAAACTGAATTGTGGGAAGGTGTGCCGAAACAATGATTTAATTAACAAACGTAAAATTAGCAAGCGGAGACTTGTTCACTCCGATTCAAACCTTACTGCGTCTCTTGAGAATGGTATTATTAAGATTGCAACTTTTTGTATTACATCAATTTATATTACATATTTTGACATATTTTTTACTTACACTTTGTTACGGATCCATTTTAATATTAATTCTTTTAATTTTACATATTATATTTAACTACTAATTAACATCTCTAGAAATCAAATCAATATCTAAACCGTTTTCTTTTCTACTTAGTCAATATTATGATCTTTAAAAGGCTTGATATCGGCGATTGTTGACCTTGTAACAAAACCCCGACTTACTTGAGCACATCATCGAAGCTAATCCAGAAGACGCCCTGGTCTTTGTCATGATGATGCTGTGCGAGCGCGGCCCTGGCGGCGGGGGTCCACCTGGCGCAGCCGGCAGCCCATGCGCCGCGCCAGGTGTAGTGTCCCCAGGGGTTGCGCAGGCGCAGCAGGCGCGTGGGGGGCGCGCCGCACGCCTCCGCCACCTCCACCACGTCCAGCACGGAGTACGCGTGCCGGGGGCGCAGCCCTAGACGCTGGTATTCTTCTTCGTCCACCTGGTTAAAAGATAAGTTAAACAGTTTGTTGTACAAAATAATGATATTAGAACAGTTTTAGTAATAGTGTTCCCGTCTTTACCTTTTAGATACGAAACCCGACAAAATAAATATAGGCACCGACTTGATAGAAACGACAAACAAACTTTATAGTTATATAAGCCGAATGGGCCTTGACTATTGTATGCCCAAACGGGCTGATTGTTGTACTGTAAACCATTATATGTATAACACCGATAATCAACACAATAAAGATTACTTTTCTTTAATTTTAACACTTGCACAACTTACGCAAAAGTACACTTTGGAACGAGTAAGTAGCTTCACTAAGACGACTGACCAACATACTAACACTTTTTATCTTTAAGCTTTGTTTGACTTTCAAAAGAGCATGTAAAGATCTAAATAAATAAATGATTTTTGACTTTTGACATATTTATTCACCTCCAAACCATTATAAACCAAACCAAAATTAGGTGACACTTCACATCAATTTAACAAAATATTACGATGTCATTATCCTCAACACGAAATGAAAACAAATGCGTCGATTGGAATACAAACAATTACTTTATTTAATTATTAAACAGCAAAACTTTTTTACAAACAATCGATTAAAAACATTGATGATAATAAGTTACTAACATGCTTATAAATTTGTTACATAAATGTTAAGGATTTTTGGAGAAACAACCCAACTAACTTAAACAGCAATTACCTTCATATTCCCCCCTCCGCAGCTAGCACCCATTAAAAAGCAGGCCTGCCTTGAAGACAACAGCTGAGCCCAAACTAGGTCTCGGTCTAGTTGTTCTAGGGGTGCTCCACCCCCGGCGCCGCCCGCGCCTCCCGCCTGGAGTGACACCGACTCGCATGGAGCACCCGTTAGTGTGCATAGACCTAGGATTTGGAGACAGGAATGTTAGAAAAAAATGTAAAACTTGTGATTTTTACCAAATTATACATATACTTACTCTAAGTTTATTTAGACGCCACTGACATATGGTAAAAGAAAAAAACGTGAGGAAATCTAGACTTATATTTTCTAATTGGGTAGTATCCTAGGTCAAAAATAAATTAATTCGACGTTTCAATACAATTTAATGTTAAAAATACGTAAACTTTTCTTCAACGATCTCAACGATCAAAAATTTTCGATATTTTTAAGCTTATTCTTAAGAAATAGTAAGCTATTTGACGCAAAAATATTATGACGTCATAATTTGTAATTTCATACAAATGGTGGACATATGGTGAAGTAAAACATCGTGAGGAAACCTAGACTTATAATCTCTAATTATTAGTTTGAAATCGCCAATCCGCCTTGAGCAAGCTTAATGATTAATGCTCAAACCTTCTCCATGTGAGGAAAGGCCTTTGCTCAGCAGTGGGCACTTATAGGCGATGATGAATAAGAATGAGTAATCGTCATACAATTTCCATATTACGGAGATCCATTCTTCTTACCTTCAATAGCTCTCCCAGAAACCAGAGCTTCATAGCACCCGTGCAGCTTAGCAACAGCTTTTTCTATTAACGGCACCCAAAGCTGTTTTCTTTTCGCCTGAAAACATATATTATTGTAAAATTATTATCTTACAAAGATTAGAATACTGAAATATAGTTTTATTTAACAAGTTTTTATCGAATGTGCAATGCCTTAGCTTCACTGACAGACTAATGAGTACATGGATAGGATTGCTAGCAGGTATCCTGACCTGGTCAATGCACACAGCCGGTAAAAGTTTTGATCAACGAGACATCAAATACTTTAAGGTTTGTGACATACTACTATTAAATTTTGACGTTTCAAAAGTACCTACTTCTGGCATTATGGCTTAGTTGGAATAAATGATTTTGACTTTGACGTTGACTTTATGTTTGTACGTTTGTGTAAGTGGAATCTTATAACAAAATTTTGAAGCAGATACCATCAACCAGTTAAGCTGAAATTTTGTTTGTATGACGAGAAATGCTAAGTTGAATTTTCGCTAATCTTAGTCCCGATACTAATTCCATTATGTAATAAAAAAATGTTTTGATCATATATGAATTTAATACACAATTGTGAGAGAGACATGCTTTAGCACAAATGGGCTGGTGGAATCGGAATGATACCAGCCTTCACGAGAACCAGCTAGAAACAAGGCTTGCGATGTGAATCGCCGTGAGAGTGAGAGATTCTATCATCATCATCATCATCATCATCATCATCATCATTATCATCACCATCATCAGCCTGTTGTCGTCTACTGCTGGACATAGGCCTCCCCAATTGCACGCCACTGAGCTCTATGTTCAGCTCTTCTCATCCAACCACTGCCAGCCACCCTGCGGATGTCGTCAGTCCACCTAGCTGGAGGACGCCCTACACTACGTTTGCCTAGGCGTGGTCTCCACTTTAGAACACGTTTACCCCATTTTAAATTTGTTGAATTTTTTAATGTCTTGGAAATTCTATACTCCAAAATGTTGATAAAGCATTCGCAACTTAAGTGTTGTGTGTGTCCATGGACAACGCTAATTGCTTACCATCAGGGCCACCTTTTATCCCATAACAAAATGACTAGGAGGAACAGTAGGTACCTGTGAATAGACCAAATGGCCCTTCTTGTTGGCGGGCAGTAGGTCGTCGACGGTGACAGTGAGCCACCGCCCGTCCTTGCAGAGCCTGAGCTGGTATGCCCCGCGCGCGGGCTCGGCGCGCAGCAGGACGCCGCGGACCAGCGCAGACCGCTCCGCCAGCACCGCCAGCGCTGATAGCAACCAGCAGTTACCCAGTACCCCTGTACACCAACCAGATATACTTACTACCTTTCTTTTGTGGGAGGAAAATCATCAAATTAAGCGCGGGAGAGCAAAACTTCGGCGCGAATGGGTCGGCTCAACCGGAGCGACACCACGGCCATGATACATGTCATATTAACGTTCTTTTAATTTAATGGTTAGCGCAGTAGCTAGGCAACTGACTGCTAAGCAATGTGTCGCGAGTCCGATTTTCGCACTGAATTGTTGTTTCGGGTCCGGGTGACTTCTGTATGTGAATTTGTATGTTTTTAATGTCCTCACGACATAGGAGAAAATCCTAGAGTGGAACAATGTTTGTGTTGTAGAAAAAAAAATATGATTTGAGTCACAAACCTTGCGATATATCCGAAGGCCTAGGGTCCCTGAACACGACCCAGGGCAGTCTATGATCAGCCTCGACGTGTATCTGGTGAGGGCGGAGCCACCGTGCCGCAGCCCCGGCCTCCGCCCCTCCACTGTAGTACAGGGACCGCGCTGACGCTGGGAACGAGGAATCCACGTACGGTTCTCCAGTCTGGAAAATTAATTCAAACATCATCCAAGATACACTGTGATACACATTGATTAATAATTTTTTTTTTTTTTTTTTTATTGATTATAGGTTCGCGCTTGACCGCTATCTCACCTGATGGAAAGCGACGATGCGGTCGACGATGGAGCGCGCTTACCTAGAAGTAACCTATTCACTCTTGACTTAAAGATACCCAGATTGTAACTATCAGGAAACACCGACTCCGGCAAGGAATTCCACTCCTTGGCTGTACGCATGATGAATGTGCTCCCAAAACGTTTTGTACGTATATGTGGGACATCCACCATGTACCGGTGGCGCAATGCCGTACGTCTGGTGGTCCGATGATGGAACGGGCTAGGCGGAATTAAATTATGTAATTCCAACGCACATTCCCCGAAATGCAACCGGTAGAAAACCGACAGGCTAGCAACTCGGCGTCGATGCTCAAGACTTTGAAGTCTCGACTCGACAAGTGCATCATCGCCAATGATCCTCTTGGCTCGCCTCTCAATAGACTCATTATAATAATTAGGGATTTAACCTCTCGTTTGCCGGTATATGAGACACAATAGAAAACACATTGTCACCCGGTTTCCGAAAGGCCGATCAATGTTAAAATCAATTTAATCTCTTGTCAAGTCATCTGATTGGTTGACTGAATTATCAACAATCAATCGGATGACTTGACAAGGGGTTTAACGGGAGATTAGTTAATTTTAGCGTTGACAAGTCTTTCAGAAACCGGGTGTGTGTCTGGCGTAGATCTGCGCTCGACCCACATATCACGGGTCAATTTATGTAGATGAACCGAAAGAGGTATTTTTTATATGATGTATGATAGGACGGCTAACGATCAGACGGGTTAACTGATTATAAGCAATCACATGGGTGTCCATGGGCGGCACTGATTACTTACTATCGATTGCTTATATCAACACCAAAAGGAATAACGAGTGCGTTGCCGCCCTTTTACGTATAAGGGGTTTGGAGATTTAGGGACTAAGGAAGGGGAAAATAGATTGGGCTTCGGCAACCTCATCTCACGGCGAAACACAATACAGTCAAGCCGGTTTTCTTTGGTGCCGTGATATCACTTCGATCTAGCCGACCCATTCGTGTCGAAAAAGGCCTAGACATACTCCCGACATCCTTTATCCTCAAATCTACTATCAAAACGAGCCCACGAGGCCGACAAAGCAACTGTAGTAACTCCTTATTCCGACGCGAAAGAACACCTTTTTATGTGTGTATAAACAATAAAAAATACAAAGTTGATATATTAGTTACCGAAGCACACTGCGCCAGTACTTCTTGCCACTGGGTCCACGCGTGGCTCTCCTCACTCAAGCGTAGAATCTCCATCGGAGTACTCTCTTGCCTCTCACCGTCCGAACCTTCCGCTGTTGACAAATAAAAAATTAAATAATACATCGAGTAGCTATAATAATCATAAAGAATTGGGCATTTTCTTATTTAATACGAAATTCATAGAAAATTATCGTTGTTGCATTTGGATAGTTTTGAATTTGACTAGTGGGAACTCTGCCATATATACATTCGTTACCCTTCCCCATTTTTTATAAGAACCGCCTCCAGAAAATAACGAATACATCGAATAAAAATAGCGTAATGGGTTCAGCTGTCTGTGATATTTGCGCTTAGCTACAAATTTAACGATTTTTTTATTTCTTATAAAGATTTTTATGTTAGTACTAGTCTAGGTACTTTCCTAAGTAAAATAGTGTTTAAGACTCATTATAGTATTCACTTTATAATTTTAAGAATGTTAAGGAATTAATTTTGTTATTTGTTTATTACCTTACCTTTTAGTATTTTCTATATTCTTGTTTATTCTTTTAATTTAATTAAATTTAGACAGTCAGTATCAAATTAGTATACATTAAATAATTAGATTATAATTTCCTAATTTTGTATTTTGTAAGACTGACTCGGCTACACTGTCGAATTGGATTTTATCTGTAATGATGGTTGTTAATGATGTAAATAAATAAATAAAAATAAATTTATTATTATGGGAATTGGGTAAAAACGAGAACCCTATTATATTATTGGACAGCAATTCAACTAAATCGGTCCAGCCGTTTTTGGCGTGAAAGAATAACAAACATACATCCATACAGTGTTACACTTATAATATTAATAGGATTATATGCTACAACTGTCAGCAAGTAACTCGGCATGCAACAGTAAGCTAGTTTTTTATTTGATTAAGTACTCAATTTCCGTTTTCCTCAAGAACATTTTATCAAACTTTTTACACGAACCTCTTTACGACACGTGGACAGAAATAATAAAATAAAATAAATACGTATTAGTATGGGATCCCATACAACTACAGACATTTGGGTATGGAAACCGTTAGTACCAAGAGTCCGTTTGGAACTAGAAACTATTAAAACGTTTAAATTAGTTATTTTGTTTTCGGCTTACTCACGTAATAACGCGACGCGGAATGCTGCTCATGAATATGGGCCTCTAGCATGACTTGAAACTAGTCGAGTATCTCGTCAAATTATTACGTGAGTAAGCCGAAAACATAATAATTAATTTAGAATGTCTCACAAAAGTTATAATAAAAATTAAAACTTTTATTAAGTATAAATTATGGCCGCAATACAGCAAAACTTTGGAATGATCTTCCGGCGGCGGTATTCCCGAACCGGTACGACCTTCAAACCTTCAAGAAACGAGCATATTCTTTCTTAAAAGGCCGGCAACGCACCTGTGACTCCTCTGGTGTTGCGGATGTCCATGGGCGGCGCCGATCGCTTACCATCAGGTGATCCGTCCGCTCGTTTGCCACCTATTCCATAAAAAAATGGCCAGTACAATACATACGCGAGTCGTCGTCATCGAGCGAGGGCTGGTCGGGCGCGGCGGGCAACAGACGGGTCCGCGGGGACTGGCACATGTCGCACGACACGGCCGACCCACTGTTCACGTACGTACACTCCGAGCACGGCCATTCTGATGTCTCTGGTCTGCAAAGAAAACCAAATGTTAGTATTGTATTTAACGCTTCAATTATGGTAATTCGAGACATAATATAAGAACATAAGAATATAAGTATGGGAGAGCCATGCTTTGGCACGACTGGATCGGCTCGACCGGAGTGATACCACGGCCTCTGACGGAAAACTGGCGTGTAACAACCAGAGCGTTGTGTTTCGCCATGTGGGTGCGATTACCGGAAGCCTAATCCTTCGTCTCGCCTAATCACAAAATCTCCAAATCCTTTATCCCCAAAAGGCCACACCACACTTGTTTCTCCTCCGTTGCGAGTGTTCATTGACCGGCACTAATTGCTTACCATCAGATAATCCATCAACTCGTTTGCCATCCTATCACATAAAAAAGTAAAAGTAATTTATTTTTGACCTAGGTAACTAACCAATTGTATTTTTTTGTAAACGTACCCACGACAAACGAGTAAATCCTAGTGTAGGACTTGGACTTCTTTTTATTATTTGTTTGCGACAACTAAAAGAGGTTAACGTATTTTCTTACCTGAGGTTAACGTATTTTCTTACCTGAGGTTAACGTATTTGGGTTCTGGTGGCGGGGTCTTGTGTCGAGAACCGCGTCGAGGCAACGCCGGAGTGTTGCGTCCACGTCGAGGCGACGGACTACGACCCGCTGGAAAAACACAACATTCAAAATTGTGAGTGAAGTCTTGATCCTTGATCTCGAGACTTGATCCTCCTCTTACTCCAATCCCTAATCCCCAAAAACTCAGTCCTCAAACTCTAATCCTAAATGCCGGCCATGCACTCACAACTCCTTTGGTGTTGTGTGTCCATGGGTGATGCATAAATTGTTCTGATGATAAATCATCTGTTTTTGGCACACCAAATAATGTATTGTTTTTTTTGTGAGGGGAAAATCATCAAATGACTTCTCCCGCCCAGGGTCGGGCGGGAGGGAGTGTCAGACTCTTACTGACTAAAAACCCCCCTGTTCCTTCTCCTGCTCTGGGCCGAGGTCGCGGTGCCTCATTGCGCTTACCCCGCAACCTCGGCGGAATATCAGCTCTATAGGGGGGCCCTATGGGTCTGTGGTGGTCTATTGGCTCTTTGAGGCGCGCGCGGAAATAATATATTGCTTGTGCTTCCAAATAGAGTTACTTTAAAATATTTTTATTAGATAGACTACAGTCACAGCATTTAGCTAAGCTCAGGCCTTTTTGTGTAGTGTTAACGTTTATAATTTTTTTATTTCACTCTATCTTTTAAAAATCCGCCTCAAAACCAGTTACATATTTTCCAGGATTTAAGCATACATAGGGATATAGGGACAGAGAAATCAATTTTGTTTTTTACTATGTAGTGATTACTTACAGGCGCCTTGATTGGCGTCATTGGTCGGTACTGCTAGCCCGTGTTTCGGTACGGGCGGCGTCTTGCACGCAAGGCAGAGGTTCGCCGATAGAGGGTTCTGCAGTGTACATGAGCTACATGACCTGGAACATACAATTAAAAAGGTTAGACTGGACAGTAAGTGCCTTGGTTAGGCCAAACCCTTAGCACTGGCCAAACGTTTTACTTAAAAAAAACACTTCGGAGAAACATTTCGCTTAAAACGGATCAATTCTTATTCTTTGTGTGACCCATAAATTATTATTCCAAGTCTGCGTGTGTATGAGTATTTGAAATTGTACTATATGTTTTTAAACAAATTTATTACACAGGAGGAAACCCTAGGTAACGATATATAACTTGCCCCCTCGTGAATCTCTGAGAGAACTATTTAAAACGATAAATATCCTAACGGTACCTTGTCAGTTCATATATGAAAATATTATGTATGTAAGGAAAAATTTGCAATTATTCGAAAAAAGAAGCGATAGACATAATTTTAGTACTAAAGGCAAAGATAGGCTGGCTGTGCCACGATTCCGTCTGTCCAAAGTACAGAAATCCTTTATGGGGTTCTGTGTAAATTGTTACAATAAAATTCCAAGAAGTGTATTAAATCTTAATGAACGAAAATTTAAAACTTATATTAAACGCGAATTATGTAGACAGGTATACTACAAACTTTCAGATTATATTAAGGGTAAGAATGCCTGGCAGCATGTTGGTTCGGCTCCACTGGACAATACTCAAATATGTAGTCAGTAGTTATTAAAATTCTCAAAATTAATGAAACCTTGATGAGTTTATATAGAAGCATTATTTTGGATTGTTAATACGCATATGTGAGCGCCATATTCGAGACGATAAGGGATTAAAATATTTTAATGATAGATACCATCATTTGATCCTTTTTAGTAACAACTTGTCTCTGCATTGCTCTCACATAGGAGTACAGTAATGAATAAAAAATGTATTATTGGTGAATAGTAAAACAATTTTTTTTTTTAAAAAGAGTAACGATGGAGTTTCTTGCTCGTTCTTCTCCATTCGAAACTACAATTTGGAACGAACACCTGGCTTCACTGACGAACAGACTGACAGACTACTATTCTATTTTGACGTTTCAAAAGTACCTGTTTATGGTTTAGTTGGAAAAAATGATTTTGATTTGATTTGACTTGATTAGTAGACGCCAAAATTAAAAAAAAATGGTTATTTCCTCAAGTCATGATTTAAACAATTAGCGAAATGAGAGTAACTTTTTTTTGTTTTTGAGGCATTCGAGGTGGTAAAAATCTATCAATCTAAAAAAATATATCTATCTATATCCTGTGTGGGGTGAGAGGAATTGTCAGACTCTTAGTGACTAAAAACCATCCCGTTCTTTCTCCTGCTCAGAGGAAAGAAGCCATACATAAAGCCATACGTAAGTTGCACATATTTGGTGCTTTGTGCGGCATGTTCGGTGTCAAATAAATATTTTGTCTTTCTTTCTTTCTAATTTTGGTGCTTGATAAGAACCCAGTATGTTCCTCGATCATAGTAGAACCTGCCATCGATGAAGCCGGTTTTTGTCAGCGTAAATTCATCAAATGACTTCTCCCGCCCACGTTAGGCAAGAGAGAGTCAGACTCTTACTGTCTAAAAACCCCCGTTCCTTCTTCTGTTTTAGGCCGAGGCTGCGGTACCACATTGGGCTTACCCCGCAAATTTTTGAAGCCTAACTATTTCGTTTGAGCCTAAATATATTTACCTTATATACTAAACAATATATTTCGTTTCTTCTCCTGCTGCAGGCCAAGGTATAGGTACATTATTACGCTTGCCTCGCTTAATAGATATCTAGAACTCACCAAAAGTTATGTGGCTGAGGTCTGGACCCCGCGCAGGCTGCGCAGGCGGCGGCCGTGGACTCGTTGACTAGCGTGCAGCGGGTACATGACCACGTCATTACCGGGGCCGGCGGAACAGGATTCGAATCTGAGAATTTCAGGTGCCATGAACATTATGTATGAAAAATATTTTTTTTTCACCACGTGTTGTTACGGTGGCCTGAAGGTTAAGGGTTGAAACTCATTTGGCAGGACGGAGTCGCCTTTCTCTTTCTGTCGCTTAGAACTGTCATTTGCTAGACCGAGACAGAAAGCATAATGCTATAGCGCGCGGCGGTATCCTCGAGGCGATGCGATTCCGTGCTGCCAGATGAGGTCGCTAATATGAAACCTTGTAAGTGCCAATGTGACTTTTTCCGAGTTACATGTACCTACTTAAGTTTATTTAGACACCACTGACATAGTGGTGTCAGTGGCGATAGTGATGTCAGTCGACCTTCGAACCTTCAAGAAAGGAAAATACTCCTTGGTAAAAGGCCGGCAACGCAACTGTGACTGCTCTGATGTGGCAAGTGTCCATGGGCGGCGCCGATTGCTTACCATAAGGTGATCCGTCTGCTCGTTTGCCTCCAATTCCATTAAAAAACATAGGGTGAAGGAAAACATCGTGAGGAAATGAGGATTTACATTTCAAATCAAGTTTGAATTCACCAATCCACCTTTAGTGGTCCACCAACATAATACATTAAACGAATTAAAATTCGTTCTATTCATGATTTATCTTATAATCTATATTTACAAGTATTGTTTTATTATACATACGCACTTAGTTTACATAATCATAACCACTTAGCTATATGACTTTACTCTAAATCCATAAATATATATAAGTGTTTAGGACTAGATTTGTGACAGTGTGTTTAAAAAAAATTAACGCGGCTCTGGCACACAAACTTTCAAGTTTTTGATAAAACCTGGAAATCATACGCAATATAATATGATCAAAAAAAATTGTTCAGAATTACACAGAGCGAAAGAGAGAGACAGAGAGAGAGAGAAAGAGAGCGAAAAATACTTACCAACTGCAAACAAAAGTTCGTCACTGTTCAAGTCGTGGTCTAACGAAGCGATGGGTACAGTCAGCTTCTTCGGTTCTCTAGCCATTTCCACTTTACTACTGCCGCTAGCTTCTGAGCCCTGATTGGCTGGACGTGTACTGTAAACAAAACAAACAATTTAGCCAATATTTCACCACCTTCATTTAAGTATGTGATAAACTTTTTATACCGTATTTTTGTACGTTTTATATTTAAAATTATAAAGGGAAAGAAACCAATCACAATGTAACTTTTTCCGAGTTATATGTACTTTCTATGATTATTTAGACACCACTGACATACTATGAAGGAAAACATCGCGAGGAAACCTGGACTTACAAATTCTAATTTTACAAGTTTGAAATCGCTGATTCATAACCGTGGTGATTATTGCTCAATCCTTCTCCGTGTGAGAAGAGGCCTAGGGACTTATAGGCTGATGATGTGAAAATAATATAAGACGGAGACTAAAAAGAAAAAGCTGAAGAGTTTGTTTGTCGAATTGCAAAAAATTTTTTGTGTTTAAAAGACCGTTTATTGAGGAAGGCTTTAGGCTATAAAACATCACGCTACGATCGAGAGTAGCTAGTTAGAGGATAAAATTAATATTGTAAGTATACTTACTTATTATGGGGCCCGTCGAGTACGTCCCTGGAGGCTAGAGTGACGGGTGCATGCGGGGGCCGGCCACTGCGACAAACGTCACAGCAACGCGCCCACCACGCGTTGTACGCAAACCAACACTCGTTGCACTGCCACATTCGGCTCTCGCGACTGTGGGGAGCCAGCAATGGATTGTTAAGTCGAAATTTTTATATATAAACATATAAATTACATTTTAAATATTTCTTAAAAATAAATATTTTGAAAGATAAAAATAGTGTCCCACTGGTATCGAAAACAGGGTCCTGGCTACCGGCGGTCAGGGCTTCAGAGAAAGGAACCTCCTGAAAATACGAATCGTGTCCAGGAGTATCACTTTCTGAATTAAGCCCTTGATCCAGCCACCTAACGAGAGCCTCCTAAGGTGTTGGTCGAGGCTCTTAGCTAATAAGCCAAAATTTTATTCTGTACCTATCCTTTTGGGATATACGAGTGGGAGAGCCATGCTTCGGCACGAATGAGTCGGCTCAACCGGAGTGATACCACAGCCTTACAGAAAATCGCCGCGAAACACCAACAGCGTTGTGTTTCGCCGTGTGAGTGAGGTTACCGGAGGCCCAATGCTTCTTCTCCTCAAATCCCTAAATCTCCGAATCCCCAATCCTCAAAAGGCCGACAATGCACTCGTAACTGTTCTGTTGTTGCGGGAGTCCATAGGCAACGCTGATTGCTTACCATCAGCTAATCAGTCAGATATAGCCCCCGCACCACCAAAAAAATACCAGGCATCGTATGACGTAACATCCATGTCCATAGCTGGGACACAAATATACTACCTTGACCCATAAAAACCCCATAATAAGCTCTTCCGGTACAATTTCAATGGAGTCAAATGAATCGTGACGGTGCAAATGTCCAAAGGATTACTTCAATTCAATAGAATGCGACACAATCGTCAAATTGGATACGGTTCTTAAAATAAATCTTCAAGCTTACCCGACTACGGCAAAACAAAAGGAGGGTCTGTTCCCTCCTAACTTCTAAACTACTTATCAGAATTGGACACATCACATATCATTAGAAACGTCTTAATTGTCCGCTGGTTATAGGCTATATGATGTATCAAAATCGTAATCAAATGTGGCGTCCTCTAGCGGACAAAACAACCAGAGTATATTAGCATTTGCTTGTGACTTTGCTTGTATTCATGGGATGAGTGCACATAATTCACATGTTTTCGTTCATACCTTTTACTACTTAATATTAATTCATTCTTTTGTTGATATTATGCGCTACAAATATACTTTAACACCAAAATATTACAAATAATAAAAAGTATAAAAACTAAAACCCAACTACGACAAAAAGCGACGCTGGCTTGGGAAGTTGATAAAAATCCTATGTGTTACCCAAGTTATCACCTAGCCACATACCATAAACCAAATCGGTCCAGCCGTTTTTGTGTTAAAGTATAACAAACATACATTTCTAGTATTAGTAGGATGTGAAAAACTGATTTTTCTTATTTCATGAAGGGACATTGTCTGACATATTTGACATAAATCGACAGTTACATACTAAAGTGTAAAACTCAACCAGACTGACACCATGGCCTTACAGAAAACCGGCTAGAAACAAGCGCAGCATTGTGTTTTGCCGGGTGAGTGAGGTGACCGGAGGCCATATCTCTAAATCTCCAAAATCGTAATCGTCACTCGCACGCACTGATTGCTTACCAAAGGTAATCAGTCGTGCCGTTCTATCATATAAAAAAACAAAGTTTTAAAAATAAAAGAAAAACTTACGTGGGCTGTTGTGTCGAAGGCACTTTGTTCGGCTCTCGGGGGTTGTGGGACACCTTCCCGACCGATGGCAGCATATTATATACTTTGGGTTCCCTCTGGCCTATATGCGAAGTCCTTATATTAGAGGCTACGTCATTCACTGGGGATATACAATTCTCGGCACCTAGCAACTCGTCTATGCGAGCATAGTCACCATCATTTATATCATTGGAGTACAATGCCTCGTTCTGCGAGTTACTCATCACAGTCTTCGTGTCCTGAACCGAAACATAAGAATACCTCGTCCCGTTATTATTCACCTGCAGCTGCAAATTCAAATCCTTGTACTTCCCCTTATTCGGCAGTGCGTATATCACCCCCTCAGCATTCGTATCCCAACTGCACTCCTTATCAATCAACTCCGCGCTGTTCTCATCAATCTTCTGGTCTTTTCGAATATCAGTCTTCGGTAGACTTCCACAGTAACTCGCTAACGACTTCTGGTAGTCGTTCAGACTCCTCCGACTCGATATCACCTTCCCAACTGGTCGTTCCGCGTTTGTCTGCTCCGAGAAAGACCGTCGGTACGTTGGGCGGATTTCTGGTGAGTTTTGTGCGCTTATAGATCTCCTGAAGGAAGTTCCTAGCGTCGTGCTTCCTGTGGGCCAGTCGGGGACGGTGATCATGACACCTCCAGACGTTGGGAGCGACGTCGCGCCATCTTTCCCCGCCGCAGTCTCGTGCCTACCCAAAGTCGTCACACTGAGTCCTCTAGCATTAGGAATCCGCGCTAAAGGAGACACTCTGGGCGAGAGACAAGCTTCACAATGCGTCCTGATCCCAGAATTTTCTAGAGTACACTTACTGCACGACCACTTCTTCAAATGCAATCCCCTACTCTGTTCCCTTTGGTACTCCTTCACGTAATTGAGTTCCCAATTGGACTTGCTCTCATTACACTTTTTGGGTCTTCGGGTCACCGTGTGAAGGCTTCTAAGGAACGATTCTCTGGGATTGCACTGACCGTACCTTTCGGAGACCATCAAACTTGTGGGTCTATTAATGGTCCCTCTGCCACTTTCGTCAACCTTCCACCACTTATGTTGTGAGTTTATGACAGACCCGTGAGATAGGGACCTGGTGACTCCGTGAGCGTGGTCCGTCAACTGAGTGGGGGACAGTCGGAGTGACTGCAAGTCGAGGTTCAGTCGGCGACCGTCTGAGTAGCTCGTTGTAGGTTTATATGACGATGGGACTGCCAGGGTGTTGGACCTTATCATAGTGTTGTCTGTAAGCAGAATAATCATGTTCAAAAACATCATTCATAAAGTAAGACGAAACTGAAATTTGGAATCGTCCGAATATACCTTGGGCAGACTTTTCTTTGTCCGTCATCCCTGAAGCTTGATCCTCATCATCAGAGAGCCTGTAAAAGCAAATTAACAAATTAATACTATTAAAATGTACACATTACAATAGGGGGATTCGGTGATCAATACTCAATACTAAATATATTTATTGCATTCCACAATGTGAACTTAGGTAGTAGGGTACATAAGGATCTCATTGCACATAATTATGAATTTTTCTTAGCGAGTTATACAAAACTAACAATTTTCAATAGATGTAAGCGTGAGAGAGCCATGCCTCGGCACTAATGTGTCGGCTCGAACAGGGTGATACCACGGCCTCACAGACACCTGGCGTGAAACAATCACAGCGTTGTTTTTCGCAGTGTGAGTAAGGTTATCGGAGGCCCAATCCTTTGCCTCCCCCATCCCTCCGCAAACTCTAAATCCCCAAAACCCTAATCGGTACCTGTAGACGGGCGCGTGTGGTGCGAGCGCGTCGCATGCGGCGCAGCGCCACGCGGCGGACACGTTGCGTAGCCCGCACGCGCACCGCCACGCGCGCGACGCCTCCGGTGCCGAGCCCACGCACGACCATCCGCTACAAACAACGAAAACATCACCTCATCATCTGCTTGATCATAGCATGTCAATCTTCAAACTTAAATAAAAACAAGTCGCGGTGGCCCCGAGGTTAATTGATGATTTTCCCTTCACAAAAAAAAACCTAGCTAGAGGAGCTACTCTTACCCCCGGTTTCCGAAAGGCCGATCAATGTTAAAATCAATTCAATCTTAAACAGAAGATTAGTTAATTTTAGCGTTGACAAGCCTTTCAGAAACCGGGTGTTAGCCTCCTACCTTACCCAGACGCGAATCATTGAGATAGACATAAATGTAGTCTAAAACATCCTCTAGCCTCCAGCAAAGTGGAGTTGACGATATATCCACAAAGTGGCTGATTACACACTTTTTAAATCCTATGGCTTTTCCCACCTTGGGTGAGGCAAGAAGGTGATTAGACTGATTGAAAACCACTTCGTTCTTATCCTTCTCCGAAAAGCGTCGCGGTATATCATTGTGTTTGCACCTGCCACCCTTAATTATGCAAATTGAACTGAAGATTTAGCTAAGTGGTGTGTTGATTGTAAGGCTACCCTAGTCCAACAAGAGTTGCGGTGTAAGCGCAATGGGGCACCGCGGCCTCGGCCCAGAGTAGAAGGAACGGATGGGTTTTTTTTTAGTTAGTAAGAGTCTGACACTCCCTCAAATCAAGACATTCCATGATTTTGGCCTCCCAAAAAAAAATCCCTAGTCCAACTCCCACAAGTGGAAAGATTTAGACAAGTGTTATTGCTAAGATGGACTGGATTGGCTGAAAAGTTTATATAGCACATAGCATGTTGCTAATAAACTTTAATTGGCACACAATTGTTACTCATCCATTATAATAGGAATATCCTTTCACAGGTCTTTTACACATAAATTAACTTGGTATATACCATAAAGTGGGCTGTTTGATAATTATACTATCCAAACTAATAATATATAAATGTATAATAAATGCGAAAGTAACACTGTCTGTCTTTTCTTCACCCCTAAACTACTAAAGCAATTTCTGTGTTATTTAGTACAGACATAGTCTGGAACTCCAGAAAGGACATAGGATAGTTTTTCCAGGTGAACGAAGTCACTGGCAAAAGCTAGTGGTATTATTTAAATAAAAAACACACAAATTCCACATGTACCACACACAGGCAGATCTGCATCGTATGCATTATGCAAATTTTATTATTATTAGTTTTCTTCTACTTCATAACATTGTGATTTCCAACTAGCCAAATTCAATATTTGTATTGAAATGTCTAACACCATACCTTTACTTATACTACTACTATATTTTTGTATTATATCACAACTTGTGAGGACATAATGTTTTTAAATCAAATAGCACACTTAAATTATATCATCAAATCAATAAATAAAAGTATGATTACATTTGAATATGAAAATAATATATCTATTCCATAGAAAAGTAAAACAAGCTTCCAATAGGGCATTACCCGCAGTGCCTGAATTAAAAGGAGCCTTTGTGCCAATCCCGACTGATCTATACCTGTGTCGAATTTCATTCAGGTCCTTGCAGTAGTTTTTACGTGGAAGAGTTACAAACATCCATACTACAAACTTTTGCTTTTAAAATATTCGTGGGAACACCCTATTCCTACGAATTGGAGATCTCTGGGGGAGTCCTATGTTGGAGGACGAGTTGGAGAGAAACAACAACATTAATGTTCATTTATTAAGGAACTCCAGCAATAAAGGCTTATTTAATTAATTACTTATTTTAATATTAGTAGGACGCTCATAAAGGCATTATAACATATTTTTACCACTCCTAACTATTTATGTTTTATTTCACTGTCAAAGATACTATAGTAATAACACCCACTTCTCATATATAAGAATGAGGGGTCAGAACTTGCTATGTACCAATGTGACTTTATTTAAACTTGCAAAGATTATTGAGACAACATGGACATATAGTGATAAAAAAGGAAAGCTGAAATTCTTTCTAATTATAAGTTTTAAATTGCCGATCTGCCTTGTGCAAGCAGACTTATAAACACTTTCATTACCCCTATGATTTTCATCATGATATCTTGGATGCCGCCTACATTTCTAGTATGTTTTACATTGAACTCGCCAGGTGAGTTCAGTTCCATGACACTGGAATAAAATTTTTTGGGTGATTTGTTGGCACTAAATGTGTTAATAGTCATGCCCTCTCCTTGCGAAAAGAGGTCTTTGCTCAGCAGTGAGCACTTAAAGACTAGTGATGATGATAATTAATAACACTGTTTTTTTTAGCAAAAAGGTTTTTACTTTTGTGAATAGCTGAAAAGTGCTTTGTTTACATAAAATACACCCAAAATATATAACTCTTAGAGTTTAATTCACAAATATGATTCAAAGTGCCAAAAGATGTATTAATAAATAAATATTTCTTATTTGTGATAATGATTCCTTTGTTCATACACATAGAAGTTAAACATATCCCATTATTTTCCTATTAGACTTCTACTTAGTGAGGATTGAAAAATTTGTTTTGAGATGAATTAAGTACTTACAAGATTTCTGGAAGGAAATATGGGTTTATGATTCCTGCTTTCAAGTGTTGTGAACAGATTAACTAGAGATTGATTTTACCACTGCAGATAGATAAATGAAACAGATAATAATTTAAACACTACAGTGAACTCAATATTTTTCAAGAAAAGTCCTGAATGTGTAACGAGCACTTCAAAATAGATGTTGCGTTGGAAAAAGCAACAATTTTTTTTCGTCGATTTTATCACACGCGCTCACTGACGACGTTAGTTTTATACGATTATATTTCCGCACTAAATCAGTCAGTTACAGAATACGTAAAAATACTATTTGACTTACGATTGTCAGGAAATGAACAATGAATTGACCGAAACACCCCACAATACGTACCTACATACATGATGAATAATCAACACATATAATCACATTTTTAACACAATTGCTGACACAAATATACTGAAAACTGCACGTTAACATCTAATTTAGTTAATGAACTGCCTTCTACTGCGCACAACAATGAAATACAATAGAAATATAACCTAAAATACGGGTCACGAAAAATCGATAATTTGCTGACAGAAACTCGGCGACGGTCATAATTACAAGAAAAAAAACATACCTGTTAAAACTATGTTCAGTGGGTATGACGATCGCTTCCGACCCAGGTGTAGTTCCTTCGCTTTTTCCAGTACGAGATGTATATTCCGGCGACGAATCTCTACAATTTTCTTTAAATAATCCACTGTCATGACTCGATACCCGCTTTGTACCACATTTTAAACACTTTACACTTTCTGTTGGATTGATCTGGCCGCACGTCTGACAATGCCATTGCAGCACCGATGCGATTGAACCCATTTTAATTCACACATGGCTATGAGACCATAACAAGGCTTCGTTTTATGAAAACAAATTCAGATTTGAGAAAAACGAAAACAGCTGATCCACCATGTTGTTTGTGTATAACTTTTTTTTATATAGGTACGCGACGCGACGTCTCAGAAAATTGTTTACGGTTTTATCGGTTTTTTTTCTTATTTTTTCTACAACTATAAAGTTTATTTATTTTAAAATAAAATAATTAAAATATCGCATTATTTTAAATTGTAAACAGTACGTTATCCAGAAATATAGAATTATTTTGCCACACCAGAAAGTGACATCTATTGTCATATATCTGCATTATAATGGCTGTCTGGAAGATATAGTTTGATAGCTAGAATATAGATGGCTCTGTTAGCTTGAAATGCTTCTATTATCACTATGTTCGCAAATCAAAATATAAACTACATTTTAATGAATTTTTAATAGGTATTAAAATAGAAAATAAATACCTGTGTTATTACAAAAAAAATGTCTTGTGTCAAATTACTACAAAGCACATATTATCCAAATTAATAAAAGTATATAGAACAAAGCAAAACGACAAAACAAATGAATGAAATGTAAATAAAAGTCGAAAATATACATATTTTAAATTATTCAGGCATAATTCAAAGTTGTAATAATTTCAACAAACATTCACAAATAAATAAAAAGTAATTAAAACCAATCATCAATTATTATTATTCGACCGAATGAAACAAAAGCCAATCACAACAAAGGCATATGTTTAAATTAACGAAAGTCGATATTTACACTACCAATCACGAATGATTAAAAGGCCAAAATTGTGTGTTATTGCCGTTCATGCCAATCCAGGGGCAATAAGTTTAAAAACACCACGGTGGGATATCGTTCGCTGATAAATTTTGAATTATCGTTATTTCTCCAATGCGGATGTGATAACGGGTTTCATAAAGTACTTTTAAGGGGTGCGCACATTTGCGTTTTACGGTTTTTGCAATAAGTTCTCGAGGCAGCGCTAATGTTTTCCGCGTTGGTGTGAATTGAGATTTTGAATTCCGATTATTTTTAAAGTTTTAACTTAGTAAGCGGCTAATTAAGTAGGTATTTATTTGATTACTTAAAACGTCTCGTAACTTCACGGACGGCCACAATGAAACAATGAAACAATGAATTTATTTTTGCAAATAGGCCTTAAAACGGCACTTTTACACGTCAATTTATATGTGAAAAACTAGATGAAGCCGGCATTTCTTATCTGACTACTCTGAGAAGAAATGCCGAAACAAACTCAGAGGTCAGTCTCTTTTCAAGTCCAGACAATATAAAATAACATAATGTTATACAACACACTTATAAGTATTGCTTATACTGAGGTAAACTAATTTGATTCTTTAATAATAAGTACCTACCTACTTAATAATCATGATCAATAATCCGTCACGATAAGCAGGTAGTGCTGGACGAACAAAATAAAAGTTTCTTCGTAAGACTGACTGGTTATTTTTTGTTTGAGGTAAAACTCATCGAATGGCTTCTCTTGCCCAGGGTTGGGCGGGACAAGCACAGTTATGTACCGCTGCCTCATCCTGGAAAAGGAGAAGGAACGGGGTGCTTCCTTCAGCATTCAGTTAGAGTCTGACACACCCTTGTCTCATCCAGGGTGAGAAAAGACATTAATTTAGATTATTTTACCACTCAAAACTTTTTTTTGCATCTGGTAAGTAAGAAGGCACACACAAAAAGAATTATCCAATTTGAACCAGTAGTTCCGGAGTTCAGCGCGTTCAAACAAACAAACAAACTAACTGTTTAGCTTTAGAATATTAGTACCTATAGTATAGCATATTATCAATTTGGACCGAGCAAATAGCTTCACTAAGAGGACTGGGCGACACTTTTAATTTTTAAGCTTTATTTAACATTCAAAAGTGCCTGTGTAAAGGTCTAATTAAAATACCTTATGATGATTTTGACTTTGACTTTACACAGTTGTCTAGATTTCTGGAACCGAATATTCGTTACGATTTGAATATTAAGCACTATTACTTCCTTCATACCAAAGCCTAAATGTGATTGAACAACAATTTGAATCCACTCGGGTAACCGGCCATTGAGCCGGATGACCGGACTTGCATCACTTCGACTAAGTTCAGACACCGTATAAGCTAAGCGTACATTACCGGATTGAGGGTATGGCCTCAGTAGCAGCGAAAGACATACAAATAATAATAAGTAACTACATACTTGCTTACCTTTGTAACTGTTCTTGATAATGTTTGGAATTGTTTAATATGTTGTAAATAAAATTCATTAATACGTACGTTTTGTAATTCGCTGTAACTAAGGCCGCACCCTAAAGCCGGACAATTGGACGGAATGTCATTGCAAACGTCCAAATAAACGACCCATTTACCACCAACGTTCCAAATTCAAATGTAGTTTAATTTTAAGATGCTCTTATTGGGTGGATGTCGTTTCCTCGTCTATGTGTGCATTCGAATTGAAATTTGAATTCGAATTTTAAAATGTAACATTTCTTTTCACTCTTTGCATTTATAAGCAACTTTTTATCGACAAGTAGGTACAATACTTTTATAAGGAAAATCTGTATTTTCATCCCACCACATCGCCAGCATATAACCACATAGGTCACTTCTGGCACGGAGAAGGTTTGAACATTAATCACCACGCTTGTTCAAGGCGGATTGGCAATTTTAAACTTATATTTCGAAATTAAAGTCCAGGTTTCCTAGCGATGTTTTCCTTCACCGCATATCAGTGGCGACAAAAAAATCTTAGAAAGTACAAGTAGGTACAGCTTATGACTTGGTCGAAGTTACTAAAATACTTGCCAGGTTTAAAATCCATTAAATATATGTAAAAATCTTAAAAGATCCATAAAATCGTTATACCTATATTTCCAAAAAGGAAAATCAATCGGGAAACCTCGATTGCCAACCACTGGGTACATTTTCAGACTGTATTTAATTGATCTGCTTTTACAGAGAATTTTTCAAAACAAAAATCCGAGATCCCTTTCTCGGCGGTTAGAACCGCTCGGCCAACGACCTTAGTAAGGCTTACGCCGCGCTATGGATAAAGGTAAACGCACACTAAACTTCGCCGAGTTCGCGTCGAATAGATAATATCTATTCGACGCGAACTCGGCGAACGGTAGATACGAACTCGAAGAGCCTGATTCATTATTCCACATAAAAATAATCGAAAGTATAGGAAAAATCCGTTCTACTTCATTTTTCGCTACGACGAGTAATACAATTTCATCAAAAGTCGTCGCCTTCGTCGTCTTTTGTACAGGTTTCTTCGAAGTTTTAATGTTTAGTTGCGAAGAAGTTCGGACTATCGCATCTACAACTGCCGCGTCAACACAGGATCTCGGGCTTGATTCCCAGAACTAGCGGTAGTATTAGAAGCGGTGTTTGGAACTGTGTATGGTACATGGGATTAGGCTCAACCCAACCCCTGCTACACGAGACCTATAATTGATGAAAAGTGGGCGAACATTGAATTTTGTATTGTACTTGTATGCTTACCCAAGACTAACCTCAGCCGGGGTTGCGGGGTAAGCGCAATGAGGCACCGCGGGCTCGGCCCAGATTAAGAGAAGGAACGGGAGGTTTTTAGTCAGTAAGAGTCCGACACTATCTCTCGTCTTACCCTGGGCGGAAGAAGTCAATTGATAATTTTGAAAAAAATATCAAAGAGTTTATTAATAAAGTTCACACTAAAATGTAAAAGAATTCGGAATAAAATCCCAAAATTCGTTTCGTCAGACGCGTTCAGTTTGGTTGAGTATACATCAACCTTCAACCGCATCAGTTTTTAATCGTCCGAGTGTATGGAATATGGGCACGAATACAGACGACCGCAGTTGCGGTTTTCCCCCGCACCGACGGATTTCGCTTAGTATCCGGTCGACAGCCGAGAGCGACTGTTGTGCTGTTGAACATCTAAAATTATCTTCAACATTTAAAATAATGTCATCAACAGAATCAGAGTCAGTTTCATACGCGGAATACGAGAATTTATCACAAAAAATCATAATGGAAGTGCAAAAAAGACCAGCTCTGTACGATACTACATTACGAAATGATAGAAAAACGAAGAATACGCTTTGGGAGGAAGTGTACCAAGGCGTTTTTAATAATTGGGAAACGCTATCGGACGCTGAGAAAGCAAGGAAGGGTAAGTTAAAAAAATATTATTGCAAAGAGCTCAAAGAAGTTCAATGTTGCATTTTAAGTTAAGCTCTCTTTTGAGTTGACCCTGTGCCCGTCACGCGCCGGCCCGGGGCCGTCCCGCACCCACCCCGCGTCCTCCACGCGCCATCCCCGCACACGCGCAGCACGATCCCAACCAAGTGCTGTATTGACTCTGTGGTTTTACGCTTAACCAACGCGGGCGCAACTCATATCTGGACTTGTCCTAATATTTTTATTAACTGAAGGCTTTTTTCTGACCCGTATACTCCTATTTACTTATCATACATGTAAGAACAAGGCAAGTAGGAACATATGCTACTACTCAAATAGTCCAGTCTTGTTATAATTTTGCAAATTCATCTAAGAGAGAGACTTGAGTAGAGTTGTTGCGCTAGTCAAACAATATTACTATTTTTAATATGAAAAACGTATTGTTCTTAACTTTATGAAATGCCTTATTAACTGTATGAAATGTAACTATTGTTACAGGTAACACAATACAAAAGAGATGGAAGAACTTGCGCGATAGTTTCGCTAAAGAATTAGCCATGCAACGTCGCAAATTTGGACAAGGTGTTATAAAAAAGAGAAAATACATTCACTTCGATTCGATGATGTTTTTAGTGCCATCTTTAAGACAAAAAGAAACTAGCACCAATACAGAATGTACTGCACCAGACAATAATAGTATTGAATTAGCTGAAAACCAAAGAAAATACAAAAGACACAGAAAAGACTTAGCTCAAACAAAAAACAATCAAGGATCGTCCTATCAAAGGCCTTCCAAAAGTCAAAGAAATGAAAAAGTTGATGAGCAAAATTTGCCAAATTTTTTTAAAGGAACGGTTAATACTTGTTATGAAGACGTATACGACGA